CCAGCGGGTATTCCTATGAAATATTGGCCAGACCCTCCAACCAAAATTGGCCAGTTTATGTGGCGACCTGATGAACGTCCAGACCGTGACTCAACACATTTGATCACGCCATTCCGCTTGCTTCCAGATCCGGGATATATCAAAGAACGGCAGCTGTTGATTTGCCTTCAGAGATTCAGATGACAAGTATTTTTCCCATAAACACCAAACACATTTTATGTCATCTGAATGTCCGTGTTCGATTCAGATGACATGTTTCGACCATAACAGATGATGTCAATCAGAATGTCCGTCTTTCTTTCGATCCGTTTGTCCCCACGTCCCACTGTCTTTTCTTCCCAGGAGCTCGGGCCTCAGGGCCCCCAGCGCTTCACCGGGCTTCCGGACGGCCAGACCTTCCTGCGCGCAGGCGGGCTCCGTCGAGACCGGTCCGGTCTTTGGTTCCGGGACCGTCTCGGTGTTCCGCTGCGGAGGAGGTATGTGGGTTGCCCTGAAGGAGCCCCATGAAGTGCTGGTGTTGATGCTATGAAGTGTTTAGTGGAGGAGGTAGCAGGTTTGGAGGTCAAAAACAAAGCAGGCTTGGAGGACTGGTACCAGGGTGATAATCAAGTTGAAGTTACAAGTCTGAGAGCGAAACTGGTACAGACTTGCACCAGGTACAGACAGATTCTTTCTCCCAAAATGAGGGAAGCCTAACAAGCTGCCCTGGTAGAAGGGGATTCTGTCTACAACCCCCTCGCCGGAGGCGGCCCCCAGGCTTTTGATTCAATCCCATCTCCTCAAGGTCAGAGAGGGACCGAGGTCGATGATTTCTTCATTTGGACTCTTATGTTGCACAGTTTGATGGGAAAAGCTCAAATGATCAGTATCTCATGGTTTCTTTCAAGAGAGATCCTATACCCTCTTCAAATTCAAATCAAATGCCCATGCAGTGGCCCTGTGAAAGCCTCAAATCGAATTCCGGAGACTGGGACCTCTTCATGCAATCGCCTCAGACTTTTGCCAACTCCCAGACACTTTCCCCAACTCCAGCACCTCCAAGGTTTGGAGCCGAGATGTTCGATGTCTCCCTACTGCCTACTAGTCCAAGGACCAAGTAAAACCTGGTCCTTGACCTCATTGAGTACTTGTTTTTGCATGACCGGACCCAGTGAAATGAGGTCCTTTAAGAACCAGGTAAGACCGGTCATTTGTTTCTTTTGGTTCTCCCGACGACCGGGTGCTCTGAAAGAGGCTCCCCTCCAAATGCCAGCTTGATCAGATGGTCGATCTAGCTGTGGGTTCAACCTGGAGCCCGGAACTCACCATGGTAGGTTGATTTGCATAGTAGTCATTTCTTTGTTCTACCTCGCAGACATGACGAATCCCAGTGAGACAGAAGAATGCCGCACCCATGACTCCTACTCAGTCATTCCTTTGCTCATCTTCATGTTCGGTGGGAAAAAAAAGACAAATTAAACATCCAAGGTCTTACCTGGTCTTAAATGACATCCAAGACAGATCTTACCTGGTCATGGGTCCAAGGTCTTACCAGGAAAAACCAACATCCAAGGGTCCGAAGGGTCCCTCCACTTTTGACCCATCTGACAGTGGATCTGACAGGTTACAACCTGGATGACCCCGACTTTTGGGGCAATGCGGCCTGGACGGCAGCCTCTCTGGCAGTCGGTGGTCGGTCTCCCGGAGGAGTCACAGCCTGGAGAAGTCCGTTTGACCATTTTGAAGGAAAGGTTGAATCTGGTTTTGTAGTGAAAAACCGTGAGTAGAAAACAATGGCTGTTGAGGGTTTATGCTTAAATTTAATGGTGGTGTTTATAACTTCTAGGGCTTCGATGAGACATGGGAGGATCCGACTTAGCAAGAGCAAAGGACTGAGAATGTCAGATGAGGACTTCGACATGGAAGACTTCAGTTAAGGGGAAAGTTTGTGTCAGGTGGGACAAGATGTTGTGACATTCTGCCAAGATAGACTGAAGAAACCTTGAGGATGAAACCTGGGTCATGGGTAGGAGAAATCTGGGCGTTCACGTGTAGCTGCTCTTGTGGTGACGTCACTTGCTGAGTGAGATAGATGATCATGGGTCGATCATGTTCAGTCAGGTTTCAGCTTCTTGAGTGGGGTCAGGTCTTGGGCATCGGACGGAAAGGGTACGCTTCTGATTCTACCACTTGCTTCAGGTATACAACACGTCCCAAGTCTGGGTCATGTAACCCACTCTCTCGAGTATTTCCTTCTAGCACTTCATGTTTGCTCTTTCTCGCGGGTTTGTCTGCAACGAGGTGGACCAGTATGTGGCATCCACCATGATGCTCGGCAGACCTCGGGGTGTTCGAGGTCGTGTTGGACACAGCTTCGGCACCCCAACGGTCAGAATTGGGGTTGGTCGTGGAACTCCAAATATATTCCAGACAGCCCATGTATGGAATATCTGCCGCCCTTGACCCCTTTTGAACTACTGTAAACATGTCTGTCCCCCGTTGTTGTGTTTGGGTGTGTGTTGCCATTCTGGTTGGAGGTGACAGATACGGTGAAGAACACCTAGTCTAGATCTGTTTGCTTTCAAGGAGTCTCGGTTAAGCTCGACTCCCAGGCTTAGGGGAAGACTTCTAGAACTGGCACGTGTTGAAGACTAGTTGTTAGATCTGACACTCCCTGGAATCATCCGTGGAAGGGACCAGCTATGTTGGTGTTCATCTCGGTGGCTGAGTGACAAAACTTGTCCAGTTGAATCAGAGGCGTGTTCTCATTGACTGAATATGTTTGTAGAGAAGCTTCAGGATTCAGTCGGCGAACCATGGCCGCTGTCCTGTTGTTCCCCCCCCAGCTCGGATGGCCAGACGATTAACATCCTGGGGGCACAGGAGCACAGAACTCCGGACGCGTGGGACTGCCATAGGAATGCCGATCAGTTGGAGAGGTTTGGGGGGTCAATGGGGTCAGTCCCATTGGTTGTGTGTGGGAACGTCAAAGACCTCAACCCAGCCATAGCTCAAGGGATGGCCTCCGGCGGAAGGGCCGTTTTCTTTTCCCATCGATGGCCTGACTTACTACTGTAAGTTATAGTTGATGAATCGAGGGGATACCCCCAGGTGAACAACTGGTATATGATTGATGTATCTGAATTCAGATAGGGGGAGACCTCTGGTCCTGGAATTGTTCGGACAAAAACGACCCGAGGGTCGTCCAGGGGGAAGACCCCGGAGACCGACCAGCATCGACCCTTCTATGCTTCTCCCAAGGACCTCCAGCAGTTCTCTTTCCCCCCAACAGTTCCATGGAGTTGGGTGCCCCTGTCACTCAAATTTAGGTAAGGACTACCCCACATCCACGGCTCCTGGATGGGACGAGCCACACCACCCCTTTCCCCTCAGGAAGCAGTCGGGCTACACCTCGGCGCCAAAGAAGCTCAGCGTCGCCTGACCGACTTCCGCCACGGTGGAGCCCGTTGCGGCTGCTGGAGCGCGGAGAGATGGACAGCTGGGTCAATGGGCTCCGACACAAGGATCCAAAGACGAAAACCTTGGAAAATCCAAGAACTTGATAGTGTGAACATGTGTGAATCATGTACTTTGAAGGACACCTACAGAGACCATGGTTTTCTCTTTCCACGTCCCTTGCAATTGCCTTCTGTTTGCCCATCTACCGTCGCGATCCAGATCCGCAGCCGCCTCGTTCGTCGGTCGGAGGGATCAAGGTGATGGAAACAAAGCGAAGTCGTTGGTTAAATTTTGGAGACGGTATGTACGATACAGGGGTTTCCGAGTAGATGGCACAAAATCCGTACAAATCGTTATAGTTATATTAGATTATTAGATGATACAAGCTGAGCTGAATCCCAGGTGCAGGATCTTGTGCTTCCAACCAGAGGGGGCTTTCTACTGGCTGGAAAAGCCCTTTGCCACCAGCCCTTTGGTGGGAGTTACTTATAGGCTAGCTAGCTACCAAAGCTGTTTGGGTTTGCCCGGAAGGTGTGACGGCAATCGAGCAGATTCACAAGTATGTAGACACAGCCAAGTCATGCTGCTTGTATAGGTTGTGGTAATTCCACTGTTGATGAACAAGCTCTGCTCCAGCATTTGCGAGCAGATAAAAGATGCAAAGGCGCCAAGTGGAGATTGACTTGGCAACGTAGAGATCCCCACGAGATCGGAATCAGCAATGATAACTTGATAACCATGAGTTTTCATCCGGGCTTTGTATTCTCCCTCCCTCTCTATAGGGCTTTGAACCAATGGAAAGGGTTCGTTTTGATTGTCCAGCCTTTTGCGTTTGGGTGTCCGGTCCAGACCCCAAGGGTGTCAGGTCCCCCCCGGTGCAGAAATCACCTTCCACCGGTGCTAGGTCTGTCCTCGACCCCAAAAAGCATGTAAACAGCCTGCACCGACGAACGGAGCGGCTAACGCATGCCCAAAACAGCCCAAAACGGGGGTTGGCGGGGATCGATCTTCCGATTTCACCGCGGTCCGCGGAACGCTGAGCGGAGAAAAAGGGGGGACGAGGGCGAGGCCGCGGCCTTTCTGCTCTAGCCGCGAGGGTCGCGAGTCCAATGAGAGAGGGGTCGGATCTGGTGAGCAACAAAGGTATCCGACTTCTTGTTCCAACCCTTGTGGAGCGACGCCATCCGGGAGTGCCCCAACGGCATCCAGGATGGCCTTGCGATGGCCTTGAGTCTTTGCGGTAAGGGAAACACCAAGGTACTCTCAAGGGGCCTTTTGCAGAGCCGTTGTGACGCACGAGCTCACGAGCTCACCATCAATTTTTAGGAGGAAGGAGCTGCTGCCGGACTTGGGAGGGTCCATCCTACACGTCTCCAGTAGCAAAACAGGAAGTACAACATGTCTGGAACCACAAGAGCAAGGAGTAGGAGACATGTCGTCACCACCCCTCCGGCTTGTGCGCCCCCGAACTCTCATGCCTCAGGATTCCCATCCACCCACCTCCCCAAAATTCATGGTGCACCACACACATTCCCTCCCGCACTACCTGGCGGCGTGCGCAGGTGGAGGATTCCCGGGCCATGCTCCGAGTGGCTTCGAAGTTCCGTGCGCAGCTGGCGCGCGTGCGGAACGCCCAGGCCCAGGCGGCCGCGGTGGAGGCGCGCGGGGTGTGGAGTACGGCGTGGAGAGCATGGAGATGCCCATCATGGGGTTATTTGATGTTATTTCAAGTTTTGGATCTGTTTAACTCTGATCGAGGTACGTTCGATTGGATGAGGTGGGTTGAATGAGAGGTTTTCGTTTACTAATGTCTATAGTATTAAACAGAGGTGTGCAGCATAAGTAAGTGCAGGCCTCGTTGCAGGGTCCATTTATCATTCCTGTTGCTCCTTGGACCTTGAACATTCCCCATGTCCCACAACGTTATTTTTGAGCCTCGGAAGCTGTTGTGTTTGGCGCAACTGTCGGATGAGTTTGATGAGGATGAGCTTCATTTTATGGTGAAATATGGGAGTTTTGTCAAGGACCGGACCTGAAATGGTTCCGATGCAGATCAGATGGAATATTCAAGGTTTTGACAAAGGCTTGTGTTTTGGCCGTCCACACCCTAGCTCATCCTCTTAACTGCAGGGGTGGGGTAGGGCCCGCCTTTTCGACAAAAGCTTTGAACAGCGCAGAACTCGAGCTGCATGATGGCTAAACCGGGCACTAGCAAGTGATAACAAGTTGGTCATCCTGGACTTCTGTGCTGAGATGAAGGAGGAGCTACCCTCCCTCCGGCTTCAGAGCTGGGTGACGTCTTCGGCGTGAGGCAGATCACCATCTCATACCAAAGTGGATAATGTTGGATCTTGATTAGTCAAAGGGATCCCCTCCCCTCCCCTCCCCCTAAACAAATGGGAGGCCCTCTGTAATATCTGTAATAAACTAATCAGCATCCAACATTCACCTCAAAAGCCTTGTTTGGGGGGGGGAATTGGTTTTCCACCTCACTCAAATCCAACAGTTGGTTTTTCGGAACCTTTAACCAGGGAAACGGCTTGGGGGTCCGCCACCATCTTATACCGCCAATGTATGTTGTCGCTGTTGAAGGTCACTCGAAGATCGTTTGGCGGCGGGAAGCTGGAAGCCGACAAAGATGCAGCAGATGAACATGGAGCAACTGCATTGTTTTTCTTTAGCAGCTGGACAAGGGAAGTTTGGAACTGGTTCCACTTCTTCCTGGAAACTGGAGCTGAAAAAAGATGCAGCAGATCAGATGAGTCCGGCAAAACACCGCACGTGCGGATCAACGGCCTGTTGAACCAGGCCTTTGTGGATTCGCAGGCCATCTGCGATGGGACAACGGCTCGGTGGATCGGTGTCCCTGTTTCAACGGCTAGTTGCGAAAGACAGTGCTGCCCAAGGTACAAAACAAACGCTGCCCAGGGTGAAGAAATCATGCTTCGTTTGCCGCAACTTAGAATGGTGTGCCTTCCCAGACAGATCCAACAAGCGTCGTTTGCACTCCGGTTCAACCGGAATGCTTCGTCCTTGTGGGATCTGGTGCGGCAAGTCGGGCGGCCGCGAGCGCGGTTGCGCGGTTCGGGGCTCGATGACTCTATGTGCACTTGCTTATGGAGGATCTGCAAAGGGCTCGGATTCCATTGGCGCTTGTGGACTCGTGGACCACATCCATGCCCCACTTGCTGCGACAAGAGACCAAACTCAATCTGTTTGCCAACCGTCGTCCTGTCATGCTCCCCGTCGAGTCACCATACGAGTCACCCCGTGGTGGGTTTCTTAAAGAACCGTCCAGCACCGATAGCACCGCTGTTTCCGCTTCCACAGACACACTTAGATTGGTCTGTGGCCCCCTGCCTGGTAGGTTTAACTTGCATTGAGTGGTGTCCTTTGGTACAGGTGTGGACACACACACACACACACACACCCGGGACCCCATCCGGACTCATCCGCACCGTCTCTATAGGCGTCTCCAGGCGAAAGCGAAGGAAGGCCGATCCGGATCCGCCCGGTCGCGTCGTGGGGTCTGGCGCGAGGGGTGGGGTCTTACGTCGTGTGGTGAACTGAACTGGGAAAGCCATCTTTTTAGGGAACTCTTCGGGAAACTGGTTCTGTTTTTTTTCTTGGTTGGATTCCATCCGAAGGTTGTTCGAGAAGATCGGATAGATTCGGATACCCATGAAGACTGAACCTGGTGAACCTGGTGCAGGGAACTCAACCTCTCTCAGGAGGTACTGTACAGGTACCGCCGACTAATTTGGCAAAACCTATTCGCTCGGCGACTGAACGCCATGTTTGGCCTCCCAAGTTGGACCCCGCCCGCCCAGTCAATGGGGCCTTATATGTTCAGGTACATTGACCCGACTGAGGCTAAGGGATACAACAACCCACGCAGTAGTTCTTTACATTTTTTGACCAAGCAAGAAAGGGTTATACAATGTTAAATAGTGCTTCTTGGAATTATCCTGAGAATGGTAATCCATCTGCAGTACATCCTTCTTTGAAGAGCCGCAGCTGAGAAAAGGTTGGGTTTGGGGTCAAGCTTCAAAACAACTGTTCTGTGAACAAACATTCGATGTTGTTCAATCGAACATTCTAATTCGCACCATTCTGTGACCATCGAGGTCTTTACAGCCAGTTGAACAGACCCGTTGCTTCCAATGTTGCTTCCATCTGACTTCAGCTTTTCCTGTGACTTCAACCAGGTGAAACCATCCCCCCCCACCACCCTGACGCGAGGCCGACCGCCTCCACGGTCGCCCCGGGCTCCTCGCGCAGCACGACCGAGCTGAATGGAGCACCAGCGCAAGGGGTGCTCAGCTGTGGAAGACGTGTAGCTCTTGAAGGATGAACTGATCATGTCCGGGTTTAGTACAGCTATGGCCAGCACTCGTGATCGGGGAATTCGGTCAGGGTCTTGACTCCAGCCGACCTGTTTTTACCTCCGCGGCAGGAAGCCTTGGAACTGACCAACCTACCGACCTTCTGACAGTTGAAAGCAGTTTGCCGTTCCCTTTGCTTGCTTTCAGCGAGAGGATATCATATGATATGTTTTTTTAATGCATCAAGAGGCTATATTCTTTCTCCATATGCGTTTACTTGTTTGAATTCATCAAGAGGCGACCTTCTTTGCCCTTGGCGCACCAGGTGCTGGGGTTTCTGTGAAGGGCCCTTCACCTTGTGCTCCTGAGGTCCCCTAGGGGCTCCGTGGGTGCCAAGATACTGGAGACGGGGGGGCCGCAGAGCGGAGAGATGGGTCAGTCTGGGTGGCTCTTTTTGGAGTTGATGGCTTCCCCAAAAAAAGCGGGAGAGGGTCCGAGTTTGGTATAATACTCAGACGATCCATGGGTCTGGAATGATGGAAGATCGAGCTATATTTTTTCCGGTGAACATGGTCCATCCATGCGTTCGTCATAGATGGCATGGTCTCGGAATAGACCTGGATTTGGCTCAGAAGGGTTTAGGGTCATATGTTGTTCGTTTCTGGTTGTATCTGAACCCCGAGTCTCCCCTGTCAATTGTCACTGGCATGGAAGCCTTTCCCTGTGCGCCCCCCTTAGTCTTTGTATGTCTTTGTCATAGCGACACCGATGAAGACCAAAAAGTCTACAGAGTTTGGTTTGATTAAACCTGAGAGGGATGGCTCCTGAAACAAAAAAGAAAAACACATTTCATCAGAAAGACAACGGATCAATGAGCAGTCAATTGGTTTGAACTGAACCAAAACATCTATTTCAGGAGGACAGATTGTGAAACACCCAACTCATTCAGTTCACCTTCAACATATTTCTGCGTTGACCCCCGATCCATTGACAGGGGGTGCAACAGCGAAGAGACATATGGGCCACCAGCACCCGAAGGGGTGCGCCTCGGACGAGGTCCCGTTGTTTGGCTGGAGCACCCAAAAGAGTCCGCTGGAGCACCCATCCAGTGGAATGACTGTGGATCAATCAAGAATCCATTTGGATTGCAATAGCTCTTAATTCTTATGGGGCGATTGATTGATCAACAGTCTACACTACTCTCTCCATTCGGCTTCCCAGTTTAAACCGTGCACTGCTTACATCCCCCATGCCGGGTTCTGCGCGAGCGGACCAAGTGTAATTCGCAGCTATTTTGGAGATCTCAGAAATTGGATGGATACTCTTTTTTTGACATCCTCCAAAACCAACCAGTCTGCTGAACACTGGGGTCGATTTTTGAATTTAGGTGGATGGCAAAAGCGGATTCTGGTGCTTCCTAGACAGTTGCCGATATATTCTGGTCGTGAAGACCAATAAGAAAGCAGTCCTCCAAAGAGAACTTCTCGATCAACAGCCATTAGACAGACTACCAGCAGAAGGGAAAACACATCAAATAAGTCAGAAAAGACACGCACGGTGTGTGCTCCATCGGGTCTCCGTACGACTCAAAACTGATGAAAAGCCGTGCACTTTCGGATGTATACCCCCAGCAGAGTGAAAGTTCTTCAACCCCGGAGTGAACTCTACCAATCCCCAGGGTTTGTTCATGTTCCATTCATGTTCCATCCCAGGGTGTTTTGGTCTTCAACCGGGCCTCTACCGGACGCCTTAACCGCGCCTGAAGAGGATCACGACCACGTGGTTTGCCTGGGCGACACCAACTCGCGGCTCCATTGGCCTGGCCACCTGGGTGGAATGCCCCTGCAACAGGCGCCCGGCGACGCGCGGCGCGACTGGCCATCCCCAAACGCTCCAGGGGACTGAAATATGTTGGTCTTGTCCTATTACCTGTAACAGTCAGTAATTTTGGACAAGGCCTTTACAAACCATCATCCACTGTTACAGGTAATAGGATAGACCCAAGGAATATTTTCCGTTGACCACCTTTCAACCACCCCAACTGAGCGGCCAAGATGCCAGTCTGCAGAGTCTTTGGGCATCGTCTTCTGCGCCGCATCGGTCGAGTCGAAGAGACGAGCGTTCCGCGTTCCGCGTCGTGTCGCCCGTCGCCCGTCGGGCGCGGCTTCGGCTTCCACGGCGTCAGGCCCGGCAGAAGGTGCAGCAGAGGCGCTTCGGCGAACTCTTGGCCCTGGACCAGCCCCTTGGACGCAGAACCGCGCGGAGGACCGCGGCGCGGAGCTTCTCCGCGGGACTGGTGATTCTCACCGGGATTCAGCCTGCCGGTGGTAGGAGAGGAGTGGAGAGAAGAGCCAGAGTTGGCATTTGTTGTTTTGTTGTTGAGTCTCGGTGCTATTCGGCGTTGGGACCTGAAAAGTGGTGGTGCTCTTATAGTAAAGTATGTGACAGAAGACAGAGAAGGGGGAGACTGACCAGATAACTGACACGGATTCTGGACATAAATTGGACTTTTTCCATCGCCAAGTTCGAAGGGTTCATAATGGTTGAGCCGTGTTGCAGTGCCAAGTTTCCAGACATTCTTGAAGTAAGAAGTCCTGGAGCAAAACCTAAGATTGTACTAGTATACAGTATACAGCTTAGATGTTTGGCCGATTGACTGGCAAATTAGCCATCTCAAGATTTCGTCCTTCAAGCACCGGCACGAGAAAACGAGCGATTGCTGAAGAGATTGCGAAGGTGAGTCCCTTTGTTTGATCATGGATAATTTGCAAATCATGCTTATGTATACATATACTCGATAATCTTGATACTTGTATCATGTTGGCCTGATTAAATCAGGTTGTTTGGAGGGCCCTCATTATGCGTCCTGTCGAAACATCTCAGCAAGCTTCAGGTTGGCCTTGATGCGGCGGGACCGGATGGCGTTCCATGATTTCGAGGACGGCGCTGCTTCTACGCCTCCAAACCGTAGACCTTTAGACACACGAGCCGAACATGGGTCTCTTGCCGAACATAAGACCCCCCCAAACCACCCCTGGCCGTTTCTCGGCGAATATGCCACTCCCATGGAGGGTCTGTTTTTTTGTTTTTTCGGAAGAGATGATGCAGACAGACAGCTCAAGTGGTTTTCTGAGTCCGTCAACAACTCAAGAAGTCCAAGCCCCCCAGTCCGCGACCCGTCTGGGCGACCCGTCTGATTGGCCGATCAGGCCAGAGGTGGTTGAAAAGGGGGAAGATTGGATTCGGTATATATTCCAGTCCCATTGGTCGTGTATGGAGTATTATGGAGGAATATATGTCGTATATATGTGGTTTTCTCTCACGTGAGATATGATGATATACTTCGTACTCTGATGTTCAACCTCGAAAAGATCGGGTAAACCACCAACGTTGCGCGGTGTTGTGCATGCAAAGCTGTCAGGGCAGTGCCCGGGATGGTTTGTTTTTTGTCACTTTTTTGGCCTGGTTCCTAATGGTCATGCTATATACCCAGATCTTCCGTTTTGACTGCTGAACTACCCCACCTGGAAGTCATACTTTCTCACTGGTACAATGAGTCATAATGAGTCATGGGGACTCTCAGGGATGTTTCTTTTTTTCCCGTTTTGGACAGATCGACCGTGTCGGAGAAGCTGGAGGATCGTCGATTTCGATTTCGGGCTCCGAACTGATGTGTCTGCTGGTCGCCTGGCGGTCGGGTGTGGCCACCCTTGGCGCAGATCCGGGGGAATGCGTAGAGGAGCATCCCATCTATTTCTTACCGTCCTACAAGTGGCAACCAGAGACTGATGCCTATGATATGCGCTCCCAGAAGCACGTGCCTGTCCGGATGGCCCAGAAGACCTCCACGGTGGACGGTATGGGGAGGAACACCAGGAAAAACATGGAAAACAGCAATGAGACGGGCCCAGTAGATTCCAGGTGTCACAAAGCTATGAAGAAATCCTGCACCACCAGAAGTGGAGAGGGAGAGTCCATTGTTTACAGAGGTTGAGTTGTTGAAGCTTTTGTTTGGATGTCTTTCGCCCTCAGTAAATAGTGCGAATTCGATCGAATGCTTCTTCTAAGTACACCGAACATACAGTACTGAAAGATTGACCCAGACGAGCTGGACAGATCTTTGGCATGAAACTTCCTTGTTTGCAAGGTTTCACCTTGTTGGCGTTCCACAAGTGTTTGGTGAAAAGAGAACATGTCCATCGAGCTGGTGGTTGGTCCCTGCATTGGCTTTGAAAGGTCAAGGTCGAGGTGTTGAGGTTCAATGTATAGAGCTGATGGTCCCTGTAGGAACTCTTGCTTGAGAGGGTTGAAAAAGGATTCCCCATGCAGACATTAGAGAGTGAAGAGAGGTCATTTCTTTTGCAAGTTGGGAGATGTTTTCAGACATAGCAAACAACTTGGAACTTCATTGTCATGTCAGAACTGCAGGGGGGAATTTACTGAAGACTTTCGCGCCAATGCTCGGCTGCTGCAGCCCCTTGCTGGCTCATAGCAATGAAGTTCTCCTGGCTCTTTCTGCTAGGTGGGGAATGGCAAGGGGATACCAGGGCGGCTTGAACAACTTATCCAAGTAGAGGACAGTTGTAGATACGACAGCACTTTTGGACTTGCGCGCGGGTGGACTTGAAATGAGAGCCAAAAAGAGTGATCGTATATATATATATATATGGGTTCTCCACCGTCCAGCTGCACTATCACCAAGAACTTCAACGGATTCGGCGAGACGCTTACGCTCACCATAGTCCAACTGTGTTTCGATACTAGACCTGACATGACCCCACTACTTGACGGAGCTGAGATAGTCCGTCAAAACAGAAGCCGTCTCGTCATTGCTAAGCAGGAGTCGGTAGAGATGAAACTACAAGTGCTACAGTTCTTTTGTACTGGTGTGCGGTGTGCTTCTTTCTTGGCAGTTTGTAGTTTCTTATTCTTATTCTTGGGACCTTGCCATGAACAAGGAGGCCAATGTTGCCTCGTTGGGGCTTTGGTGCAAGCGGCGACATAACTTTCAGAACTAGTCTATATATGACTTTATATCATTTGTTTGGCCACCCATCCGGGACCCTCCAACACACGATTTTCGAGTGTGGTCAGGAAGCACCTCATCATCCACCAAAGCGGGGCCAGTCAGCACAAGCACAGGCGTGGTACGTGTGGCTGGACTCACCGGCGTGGAGGAGACCGAGCGTAGCGTCGGAGGACCATCAGCACTCCACTAACAAGCAGGCAGCAGTGCCAAAGAAAGAAAGATTCGGTTTGAGTTGTTTGGATGTGGGTTTTGTTGAAACCAAAACCAGGTTTTTCAAGAAGACTCCATAAATTATATATAATTAGTTTAGGACGAATTGTGTTTCTTCACATAATTACCGAGACAGAAGCAACCGCACCATTTGCCCAACCTGCTGGGATTTCCAAGGCCTTTACTGAGCATTCTGTGGAGTGAAGGACAAGGTTTGCTCCCAGTCAGGTGTGTAGGTCAATCAGGCAACGAACATCCAGAGACTACTCATCTCAGGGTCATTGTAGTAAGTGTCATTCAGCAAGCTGCTCATTGACCCTGGCCACGGCCACATCTAATTGATTGGGCGGTCAATTCTTGTGCTTTCCATCGAAGGATTCACAGCGATATCTCTATCCCAGCCTTTCTCTATCCCAGCAGCAGGCGGTCAATTCCAGTGCTTTCCACATTGAAACCATCGGTTTCCATGTCAGATGGCCGTTTCCGGATCCGAGTGCTGAGACAAGTGGAAACACCGCGCCAGACACATGATTGTCTCAAGCAGGGTATCTCAGGGCATCTCAGGGTTAAAGAGTTAAAGATGCTTTTGACTATTTTTGGCTACTTATTTCTTCTGTTTTGAAAGGGTGGCCCGTGTCTTCTGTCTTCCCAAATCGCGAATTCATGCTGCAAGACGCAGCTCCTCTACTGAGTAGTTCTCTCTCGCTCGGAAGATTGGACTGGCCAAAGTTCTGCGAGCGCAGCGATCAATTTCTTCCGTTTGAACTCTCTCGGCCTAGGGATATCTTCTGTTTGATGTTGTCATCTTCGTTTTGTTGAAACCGTGACTGCCTCCTGTTTGAGAATACTGATTCCTATCTTCTATCTTTCCCATTCGGATTATACAAACTCTTTATACACTCTTGAAGATGTTTTTTTTTTACATATATTCAACTGATTGAAAAGACAAGTTCAAACTCAGATAAGAACATATAAGAACTATTAAGAACTACTTACAGCTACTTGTTTTGACAAACATGAGGGTATTACACATGTTTTGTAAACAATTACTTTACTTTACTTCAAAAAATCATCACCATGGCATTTCAAGGCATATCCACAATGCAAGGGCAATTTTTTCGTCTGCAACATTGCAAGCAAGTCTGTCTCATTGCCCGCGGCTTGCCACCTGGCACATCACTTCAATCAGTACTCAAATGTGGCCAGCAGTAATGATGGAACATAAACATGCCAAAACATGTCAGAGTACCACCTGAATGAGTCATCAAATGTGGCGAGCAGTGATGCAGACAAACATGCCAAAACATGCCAGAGTACCAATTGATTCAGTCATCAACTGCGATCTGGCGCTTGCTGTTGAGGCTTGGCAGTGCATACTGCGATCTGGCGCTGGCTATTGAGGTCCTTTAGTGCCCACTGCGATCTGGCACTTGCAGTTGAGGTCCGGGAGTGCCCACTGCAATCTAGCGCTTGCTGTTGAGGTCTGGCAGTGCCCGCTGCGATCTTGCGCTTGCTGTTGGGGTCCGGTAGTGCCCGCAGCGATCTGGAGCTGGCAGTTGAGGTCCGGTAGTGCCCACTGCCCACTGTGATCTGGCGCTTGCTGGCGAGGTCTGGTATAGTGCCTACTGCGCTCTGGCGCTTGCTGTTGAGGTCCGGCCGTGCCGTTTGCGATCGTGCACTTGCTGTTGAGGTCCGGCCGTGCCCTCTGCGATCGTGCACTTGCTGTTGAGGTCCCGGAGTGCCCACTGCGATCAAGCACTTGCACTTGAGGTCCGGGAGTGCCCGCTGCGATAATGCACGTGAGGTATAGCCCAGAGGGGAGGAGAAGAGGAGGAGGAGAAGACCTCTGATAAAATCTAAGAACCCTCACTTGGCAGGTGGCTTAAAAAGATCGTGATCCAACCTTTTGACCTTTTGATGAAGCTTCTGATTCACCTTCCAAAAGCCATGGACAAACTTTACTGGAATGTGGCGAGCTCACACCACACCTGCTGCGCCAGGAGACCGCACTACCCGAGGACCATGCTGTCTCCAAAGCCGGACTGAGCGCTTTGAGGCCACGATCGAGGGAGGTCGCCAGGCTTCTCAGGTGTTTGTGGTGTTTGTGAGATGTTTTACGAGGGCGGTCGCCGCTGAATGATGTCAATACACCAAGAAGCACTACAGGTGGCATTGTTCAGTCAATCCATAAGTGGCACATCAGCAATCGTGAACTGGAGAGCCACAAAGAACATCAAGCACTAGACCCCTGAAAATTTCATCATCCAGGCAAACCCCCCAACTCCAAGGCAAACCCTGTCATATCAGGGTGGTGGTTTCAGAGATGTCCATTTTCAACCTTTACTTGGGGTGGTTGAATCCACTGACTCCTATTTTTGGTTTCGTTTTCGTTCAAACCACCAACCAGATAAGATTATATGTGTTGAGTCAATCGGCCCAATCGGACTGGTATACCGATTACCCCTCACCGTTCCCATTGTTCGCTTGCGTCCTTCATCGCCGGAGCGCTGTTCGGAGCAGGTCGGTCTGGGCTCCGCAAAAGACGAAAAACGGCGCTCATTCGGTCCGCGGGTCATAAAGGTGCAACAACGAACCCTGATCCAATAGCCATACATTTGTTTTCGAGTCGTGGGAAATCGCTCTTCTGATTGGTCTTGTCCTTTTCGGATCTAAAGAGCGTCAACCGGACACCGACCTGCCTAAGCCAGGTTTCGAAAGTTGCAACCGAGGCGCCGGGCGCCGATGTTGGTCACGAGGTCGAGGTCTTCAAAAAGACGCCAGATTCATAATCCAGGAGTAGATTATTTAAGGAAACTGGCCTTGTCTTGGAGGTTGGTTCATATTCTACTCCAGGATGGTTGTAGTTGTAGTAGCAAGATTCTTGAATTTTCCTGTTTTTGTTGAGCAAATCCAAATGTTCACACACACACACACTAAGCCTGTTTACCGAAGGCTTTCCATGGGAATCAGCTCGATTTGGTCGTTTCACCTGCCCTCTCAGAACTTTGGGACTTGCTTCTAACATTATACATACCTGCCCCCTCCCGCAGTGCAAACTAATGTTGGAAGACAAGCGATCCCGGGGTTTGACACTCGTTCACGAACTGCGGGCCTTGTTGAAGCTCGGGACAAAGTCCGCAAACGACTGGAGGAGAAACTGCATGCCCTAGCCAACCTGAGCCAAACTGGTCAAGTAGATGATATGAGGTATGGGGTGACTGACGTAACATATCAAACAACTCCCAAATAGATGCCATCTTTATTATTCAACTTGAACATAGGCTGGTGCAACCCAAAGAAGAATAACTACCATATTTGGAGACTCAGGTTTTGATAGCTGAACACGTTTCAATCAAATCACATCCAAGGACCAAAGAGAAATCACATCCAGGGACCACGAAATGACATCGGATCACTTATATAAATACGCTGAGCACCAAAAAGCTATGACCTGCACACCGCCCCCTTTTCGCCCGCGCCAGGGAGGACGAGGTCCTCGCCGCGCTGGCGGAGCAGCGCGCGGCGCCGGCGCCGGCGCCAGCAGCAGGTGCCAAATCGTCCATGGGGGTGGTGTTAGGGGTCGACATAGAGGAGGTTTGGCAGCCAATGCTCCAAGACTGTTGCTGGGGTTCTTGGTCAAGACGGTGGCGTTCTTGGGGAGGGTGTAAAATCATCCGATTGGCGGTGAACATCCTGCAGCTGAGTCAATTAGTGGGGAAGCTTGGCCCGCGATGTTTGGCCAGGGAGGTCGTGAGAGAGTACTACCCTGTGGGCATGATTGCCGTCCAAGTGGTTGACAAGAGCTGCTGTATTACTTTTTTTGCTTTAGCAGAATATAAACCCAAAAACTGAAGGTGGTGGTGGACAATTAAGTTCTCAGTAAGGTTTGCAGGAGACGGGGAGCTTGTTCGGGGTGAGCAGTCCCATTGAAGGATCGTGGCGTGGTGGTCCCATTGAAGAATCGTGACGGGTGCGCTCCCGGGCCTTTGTTCTTCCTGGCCAAGCGACTCACAATGCCCAGCCCAGGTGGAGTGCCAAAGGAGGCCTGGTCAACACGTCCAAGAGCCGACCCGCCATCGATGGGAGTCAGTGGATAACCTTAGGACCTTTGGGGGGAATGGGCTTCCCCACTAAACAAGAATATGCGAAAAAAGGTTAAGCTCTACTTTCCAGGGAAACTGAAGGAGTCAGTCAAAGAGGATCTCTACTTGGGGGGGAAAGGTCTGCAACCAGGCCCGATCATCGTCCACTGGGCCCTGGCAACGGATATACCCAAGAAGGAGGTACATTGCCTGAAATCATCATGGGTTCGTGGAAAACCATAACCTGTGTTGGTTTTCCATCTATGTAACATAATGTAACCATGATCTAATTGAGGGAGTGGAACAAGTCATTGATTGATTTCAGGAAGTGTCTTTGGTTGTGGCTTCCAGATCGCTCTGCAGAGTTGCGCATCGAAGGATAAACTCCAACAAGAGGCAAGAAAGGAAGGTTGGCTCTGAAAGTGGAAGCTGAAAGGTCCGAACACGACCCGGAAGTTAAAATCACCTCCTTTCCTGGGAGTTTGCTTTGAAATCGGAAGGTGATTCAATCTGCGAAGAAGTGAAGTATCAATTTGGGAGGCCTAGTTCTTGTCAGCTTATCTAGTAGTTGCACTTTCCTCCACCAGTCTTTGGTTTGCCAGCTACAGTTGCGTTCGCCACTGGATTCTATGTTTGCCAGGTCTGGATGGGCTATCACCGGCTCTTCGCGCGCGACTATTTCGAACGTGCCCTGCTTGTCATTTTTTCCTCAAACCACCCAGACTTGATGAAATCGAGCAAGAAGGAATGAAGAACTGTGTGCTGCGCCCTCCCATGAGTGGTACTCATCTTTCGATGAAACGTCTTGCAGTTGTTAAGAGTGGTTAGTTTGGTGTTAGTTTGCTGGGTTGTGTGTGTTTTGTTCTCAACAGTAGACTTGTCACCACATCCATGTTGCAGCAAAGCCGCTACGCAGATATCTCAGGTGGCCTTTTTGATTTGCTTTGGCCATACTAAAGATCAAACACGATCAAACAGTTGAAATTGCAGTGGTAGTGGTAGCTATATTGGCTATAGACATCCTTCAACCAGTTTTCACTTAAAATGTGAAGGTAAAGCACCTTCCAACCGATCCACTCCTTTCACCATGGACTCTTCCGCGCTTCCGTAGACGTGTCCGCCGTTCCTCACGGCTCGCCCAGGCTGGGGTCATTGGTCCACCGGCGGCCCACAGAAGTTGCCAGGCAACGGTTGGCCCACCGGGTGAAGCGCGATGTGACCGGTGAAGCGCCGGTGTGACCGGTGCGTCCGGAATGGTGGACGGAGGTCACATCTTGGCCAAGCAGGCTAGATTGAAATGCTTAGACATGAAAACAAAGGCAGGATTTTGAGTGAATTCTTTAAGCTGGTTGAGATGCTGTCATGATTCTTGCAATCAAACCAAGAACGGTCTGAACTGTCTAAAGAACTGTCTACCCAATCCATCACACTTCAGCAGCTTGTTTCATCACACTTTCAATCACCATCTGCTTTTTTGTGGGCGTGTCATGTTGGACCCATTTGATCCATCACCGATCAGCTGAGCAGCTGAATCCCTCCAGCCTGGCGCGGGAACGGAGTCCGATCCCAGGTGCCGCTGGCGCGCCCTCGCCCGCGCCAGCGCCGATGTAATCCACCGTGGGCGATGGAGAAAACCAGTTCTCATGCGCTGGAGGAAGTGACGGAGGAAATGACGAAGTGCACGTTCTCAATCACAGTGTCACAGGACGATACAGTTACAGTATGAGTATGCATGAGTTATATGTTTTTTCCCCACCGAATCAATAAGGCATAATGAGCTAGTGCAGATTCAGCATCTCTGATCCTTATTTACAGGTGGTTGAGAAGTGTTGAGATCATGCTGAGTACGCTTGAAACTTCAGTCTTTGACACGGATAGTCCCAATCATGGACATAGGCTTTAAACGCCACCCTCCGAAACCCAGTCTTCAGTGTGTGTGTTCTTTCCAGGGACATTCCTGCATGGTCTAATAGAGATCATTGGGTGCCAGACATGATGAACGGGCCGAAGTCATGAGGCAAGAGCTTCTCGCTAGCAGGTTGAGCTAGCGATTTAAAGAATGACGAGAATGTCTCACGACTTCGCCTTTCTTCGGCATGGCGCCCGGGTGACCGGTGGAGCGCTCCACGGACCGGTCGTTGTCCTCCCCCCCGAGGCCTGGACGGATCGGATTCTGTTCCGCTCCAAGACCAGGCGACCGACCTCCATGCTGGACCGGACGAGAACGACGGGGAATTCGGAGGGAACGGAGGGGGGCCAACGTCCCCGGAGAGAAGGGACTCCATGGTTCCATCCATCAGGTGTTTCCACGTAACCATGAAACTTCCAGTGTTTTTCGAGGAAGAAAGGTTTGGAATCCATGCAACCTACTGTATTCTTATCTCCTTATATGGCACCACCCTAGAAACAAGCAACACATGGTGCGGCCGATGTCGATGTGCAAGTCTTTTGAAGACAACGGTTTCTTGCTCGCTAGACCACCCACAGCAAAAAGACGACCATGACAGCAAAGCAACCACGGTTGCAGGGGGATTGATGGCTCAATATCAGGGTGTGCCACGGGTTGATTCCCAGTTTGCCATGGAGTCAGGGACCTGGGTCGGTTCAAAGTAGTATGGGCTCCCAGTGATAACATGCAAAGCCGGAGAGAGTCGCAATTTTTGGTTTCACGTACCTGGACCTCCAAAGTAGAAACATTGCACATGACCCGATTATTAAAGCAGGTCCGTGTAATGTTGTTTGAGGCGTACTTTGAGGCTCCAGTCATCTTTTTCATAATGGTTCCACAATATTGCACTGTAAATGCGGATGTTCATGCCCAGCGACCTTGGGATGTCCCTTGGTCACACGCCCCTTCTCCCCTTCTCTTACGGCCAACCCCTTGACCTGGCGGGGGGAGGATTGGGGACATCCCAGAAAAGTCCCAAAGGTGGAAAACAGGACCTTGGTTGTCCAGGGAAACTGACAAACCATGATGCGACGTTTGATGACCAAAGCTAATGAGAGAGAGAGAGAGATGGGTTTGTGCACGAAACCTTGTAAAACGACAAGGTCCGCCTCAATCTCCCCAAACCCTTTGTTCATTAAACACAACTCAAGTAGGTCTACTGCTCCTCATGCTGCTACAACCTTCATCTTCAGCAAAGCCAACATGCTCTTCATGTCATTTGCGGAGGACGTCAGATCCGCAGATCCGCTAGACTCTAGACACTTGGTGCGTTCCATCTCTCCGTTTCCCACCCGGTGCGACGCTGCGTTGTCCCGATCCGGACTGCACTGCAGTCCGGGGATCATGGTGGCGCAGTATAACATGCATCATAACCTCAAGCAGTGTGGAACTCAGTGCTCTAGTGCTCTTACGGAGAGAACAGGGATCAGGGATCTCTGTGGCGTGGAACGGGAACGGGACGTTCCTTGTCCCGGTGCGCTTGAAATCAGATCCTTGACACAACTCCGACATCAACAACAAGATCATATTCCTATAGGTATTCTCACAAACAAACCAGGAAACCATCTTGACTGATGCAAAAGAACAAGCTGGAGGATTTGGGGAGGGCTTGATTCTGGTCTTGGAGAGATTGCTGTTCTTTGGCAATCACCCATCTACTTTTCTTCCAGACACGTATACCAATCACATACCATCCTGTCCAAAAGAGCACAAAAACAAACACATCCCCGACCAGTGACGTGCAGGAAAAAAAAGAGCACCAAACATGCTCCGTTCGAGTCGCGCCCGTCCTTGCTCCGTTCGTAGTAAGGCCAGGTTCGCTCCGTTCGAGTCGCGATGCCCTTGGCCGATCTGCGTCTGGAGGTCCGATCATCGCGTGATCTTCGCCTCGCTGCGCTGCAGCTGCGACGAGCAGATCGCAGGCGCGGACAGAGCTCGCTGGCGGCGCCGTTCGCGGCGCTCGGTGGAGCTGTTCAGCGCTTGGTGGGGGAGACGACTCCTTTGGGAAGAGGAGCGGATGAAGATGGATGAAGGCGCCTGCTTTGGAGGCTGTAGGAGGCTGTAAGTACAGAAACATCTAAGGGTTATATTATATTTTATAATGGGCAGCGAGCATACAGCAAGCAGCGCTAGATTGGTGTTTCTCTCAAAAGAGGGGGCATCGAAACCAGGTTTGTTCGGACGGTTGTAGTCTAATGCGGTGTAGAGACGACCCGAATGATCTACCCTCCCACCAACAAACATGACAGTGGAACATGGCCCCTTGGAAGACTGCTTTCCTCTACTAACAGGAGGTTTTCCACTTCCATGATTGTTTCAGGGAGGGTTATTTTTAGGATGATCAACCTCTTCACTGCTCACAGTTCGGGGTGAGCCTCTCGACGGCCAACCTTGGATGTTAAGTGTATTATGTATGCTGAGTAGACTGACTAGACAAAGTGCCCCCAACAAACCCAAACAGACCTGCCTTTGTTCCCATGGCATCATCATGTTGGAGTAGATCGAACATGATCGAACCTCTCGCGGCAAAACAGCTGAGCATCCTGGACTACACCTCCGCGCGGTGGATGCGGGCCGAGTACGCTCGGTGCAAAGTGGTCGCGATAATTCGGACCCTACTGGGGTCCTGTCAGCAAGAAAATTGCCACGAGAATAAAAAAGAATTCAAGAGATCTGAGGATCCACCAAAAGAACAAAAAAGAAAAGGACAAAATATGCAGAGAGAACAAATGACTGAGAGCCATCTTGAATGGCCGAGTCCAAAAAAGATACAAAATGCGCAAAACCAAATAAAAAGCCTAATTGGATGCGGCCAGAAGTGGCCCGGGCTCTTCCAGCTGCTGGTGCTGACCTGCATCACTGGCTGGCCTGCTGCTTCTGCTTTGACTGCCCCTTGCACGAATTCTGCCTATGCGGCTATTTGCATGAATCACACGGCCCCCCCCTGGGCCTCCCAAGTAGCTTTCTCTAGCTTAGATCCCTATGCTCATGGAGCTCCGGCGCCGGCCGTCCTCGCGTGCCTACATGCGAGTGGTGCTGACGTTGGCCCTACAACCAACCTTGGGCATAGCGCTTTGATGGCTCACGCGGTGCCTGAGCAGCTGTTCCATGGAGAACTGACACATCGCGCTTGTGACGCTGAGGTGGCATGGACCGCAAGAACAAGGTGGAACTTGTCTTTGTTTAGTCTGTCTTTTCGGGAGTACGGATTTCTGTTCCACTTTTGGATTCCGGTGCTTTTCCTCTGGGATCTCAGCACCCTCACGAAGTTTCTTTCACGTTTGATAAAACGACGAAACGAACCTTTGCATGACGTTTCCTTCGAAACGAATTTTGCAACTACCAAACAGAAACAGAAGCGGAAAAACAAATGGAGTCGACTGCGCCTGAAACCAGCTGTTCTCATTAAAAGAAAAGGCAGGTGGCGTCGAAGAAAAACACAATCGGCTCCATCCGATCGACCTGCTCGTCCTTTTAAGTTGATTTGGGCGGCCAGAGTCGTGCGGAAAAAACGAGTGCCAGGGGCCAGGGTTCGTTCTCGACGGCTGGCTCAGCAGCTACATATGCGAGCACGTGCCCATCGTTCAGGCCTCGTGCGTCGGCATGTGCCTCATTTTGGAACAGCCCTGAAAATTTGGAAACCCCTTTCCCCATCACAGGGCCCTCCCGATTCCTATGATACTTGGATTCATGATATTTCTGACAGCTTGCGGGGAGGTGCCGCCGGTTCGGCACGCACTTGGCGGAAACGCAAAGCAAAACAGAATAAACAGACTGCCCTTCAGAATGATTTGACTCGAACTTTGATTCAGGGCCTCAAAACTTGTCTGAACAAGGGGGCTTCTCAGCATGATTTGCTTCAAATGTTACAAAATTTTGTTGAACCCTCTGTTCCTGTCCCTCGGAAACGTCCCAAACGCAAACCTCCCGCTCAGCATGTCGACGAACATGTCGAAGTTCATGCTCGTGGGGAGAAAGATGGTCAGATTGAAAAGCGATTTTGGACTGATTCCCGAGGATCTCGGCCTTACTGGATTGACCAAAAATCCGGATGGTGGTGGTGGTCCGACCCCAGGGGAAAAGAGAAACATTCTTTTGATTCCCACAGTTGTTGGACTCCGCTGGTACATTCTGTCCCAAAGAAACCCAGTGTTTCTAGACCCAAGATCACTCAGCTTACTGCCGCCGACTGGAATCAACCCCTTTGTTTCGCTTCTCTCCAGTCTGTTACCCAAAGCATCAAAACCGGTACCCCTTGGACCACCAATGTTGTGGTTTCTGACAGTTTGCACGAAGTTGTGACCTTAAAAGATCTTTTTGATGGCTTCTCTGTCTCCCAGGGTCTTACTGTGGTACTTACCGGTGAAGCAAAAAATTTGCCCGGTGCCTTTCACACTCGACTGCGTGTCAAACGCACGGGTAAGACGGACAAACTTGAAGAAGTTGCTTTGTTTGCTCTCGGTTCTCACAGCCCATGGATTTTGCCTCCTCAGCAAGTTGAACCATCGGCTGTTAAGACAGTCGACCGTGTTGGACTGCGCATTCTTGTCCCTGGTCACTATAGAGCCAGCTTCAAGCCCTGTCCTGAAAAAGAACAGGTGACTGACATTCTTGCCGAACTTGCAAGATGGGGCCCCAAGGTTCATCACTTGACAGGTGGACGATGGAAATGGGAACAGCAGAGTCGTGACACTGCCTGGCAACTCTGCGGATGGATTTCAGTGCCGGCCGTCGAGGCCAAAAGCCTCCTGAACTCCAGTGGAAAAAGGGGGATTTTTGTCAACGCCCATCAATCTGTGTCTGACCCTTCCACCCGGCCTGAATTTGTTTGGTTTCTTAAAAACAAAGATGAAACCTGCGACCAGTACCTCCAACGGGCCTTGAATTTGGCCAATACTCGGAAACAGCCCCTTCGTATTCGCAAGGGATTTGGCAGCGACCTTGGGGTTGAACGGAAACCCGAAGATGAACGAATCAGCAAGTTTAAACATCTTGAACTTACTGGGGTCCCCCGCCTGTGGAAAGCCGAAGAGATCGAACAATTGTTGACCAGTCAAAAATGGTGTGACGTTCAGGTTGGAAACCCCCGGAAAATCCAGCGCCAAGTCGTTTGGTACATTCGTGCCAAACCACCGCCCAACTGCAGTCAAACTTCTTGGCGATATCAATGTGCCGACAACTATGATATCCTGCTTAACGAGAAGGTTCGAAATGTACGTCAACCTTGGACTTCCAATGACGTCAAAGCTCCGGCCCGTAATTGGGCCCACTACGCTGAGACTGCCCCGATGCACCAAGTGTCTCATGGGGACCGCGGCCGTCCGCAGCGCCATGCTGAAACTAAGGATGCAACCAGTCGCGATCGGAGTAGAAGTCCGGATGCTGAAATACCTGCCACTGTTATTGATGTCGAAACCCAAGATGAACCACACGCCTTGGACACTCCTAAAGCTGATCCGACCGATATCCTGGAGGCCCTTCAACAAGGCTGGACTGTCAAAGACCACTTGGGTTGCGGAGACTGCGGTTGGCGAGCTTTAGCCGACAACCTCCCGTGGCAAAAAGGTGAGGAACTTGAGACTGCTGAGTGCATCCTGCGGGCCAACAAGCTTCGGTGTAAAACCATCGAATACATGCGCGCTAGGCGGGATAGATTAATTTTATTCCTAACGCTGCCAACTCCCAGGAAGCGTTTGATGCCTATCTTTCAAAGGCTGTGAAACAAAACCATTGGATCAACGGCGTACTTCTTCAAGCCCTTGCTGAAAGCTTGGCATGTTGCATTGTCATTTGGAAGGAAGACCTGGGTCAAATGAGGCGCTACGCACTTGCCAAAGATTGGCGGGATGGATGGCCCAAAGTTCATTCCAAGTCACCTTGCTTGGTCGCTCAGCGATAGCCATTACACCTCGATCCGGGCCCCTGTTAACGATATGGGCAACAGAGCCACTGTTCCCCTACATTGGCAGTATGAAACCGCTGTTCCTGACAGTGACGAATTGAAGGGCTCTGCCCGCAAGGCTATTGCCCATCCTGGCTCTCCTAACTCTAGTGCTAGTGCTAGGTCTCTTTCCATCCACACTTTGAAGGCGGCGCCTGCTGGCCCCAAACCCCTGTTTGAAGGAAACGATGCGGTTGCTCCCCCTGGTACTTGTCAGCGGGGTTCTAATTGCGCGGTCGATTCCCCCGTTTCCAACACCGGTTCTTTATCCATTCACACTTTGCGACCGGACGGGGGCTTTGGACGTGATTCTAAAAGTGTGAGAAATCTGCGGACCCCCAAAACCCAACTTTTTTCGGAGCCCGCCTCGTTTAGCCAGAGCCAAGCGGTTTCTCTTGACGCTTTGGTGTCTACCCTCAAACGGGTCTCTGATGACATTGAAAGTTACAATCCTTCTGAAACTGAAAGATTTTGGGCCCAACAGGGTTTGATTTGCTGTACCAATCTGTGTCGACAGTTCAACTGCTTAATTGATAAGCTTGATTCCCAGAGTGCACTGAACCCCGCTCCTTCTGCATCCGCCGGCCCTTCCAAAAGGACTTTCGATGACCTCGAAACTTCTGAAACTGTGGTGCGGCGCAGGATCCAGGGCAAGAGTAACGTGCACGGGACTGTTCTGCCCGAAACGCACCAGTGGAAGTGCAACTTTGTGTTCCTACGTTACTTCCAGTATCAACCGCCATTTGTTGTATGGCCGCAAATCTCTTCACCTCAAAAAAAGCCATCCCAATCTTGTTGCCGAGTACTCTTTGAGACCCACTAACGCCAGCCCCCTGGTCGAGCCGAGCGAACTTGACTGGAAGCAAAGGACTTGGACCTGTTCCCATTGTTTGAAAGGGCTGCCATGGGGACTTGGTGAATCACAACGACAGCGTTCCATCGACGCCCACCTCAAAAAGTGTTCTGGTCGTTCTCGCTGTGAAAACAACAAACTTTTGCTTCAGAACGATTTATTCGGACGTTATAGGCGAAACCAACGCGGTTGGCATAACGAAACTTGGCGAAACGAACGCATTCAAAAGGCGGCGGCCATGGGCCATCAGTTGGTCTCGTTTATCGATGACAACGAAGGTCTGGCCAAAAACCACAAGCTCAGAATCACTTGTCCTAGGTGTAAGCAGGCTACCAAGGATACCAGCCAGTTTTGCCACAAACCCTGCATCCCGAAGAAATTTCCAAAAAATAAGACTTGGTACCAACTGCGTGCCACCCAACCAGAGACCATGGCCAAACTCGTGGCCGCTTGGCATTGGAGGAAAAAAGAAGTTTTGGCTATCGACAAGGTGGCTACTAACTTTAGCGTCGCACCCTTGAACGCAAAGCCCTCCCACCGATCCAAGAAACTAGTTGGTTTCATGATCTTTGTGAAGAAGGTGTGGAACCCAACCCAGGGCCCAGACGACGTGACCTTCGTACTCTCCAGACGCTCCGAGTGGTTTCGGTGAATACTCAAGGTTGTCCCGGATGTTGGCGCGTTCTCGATTCTGACATCAAAGCCCATGTGGTGTGTTTACAGGAAGTCAACATGACGGAGCTTGATTTAACTCATTTTTCCAGTGCCGCGACATTGCGCGGTTGGGCCGTTTACAGCTGTCTCGGTCACGCCACTCGTCGGGGACCTCAAGCCACTGTTGGGGGTGTCATCACTTTGGTTCGTAGGGGGCTCCGTAGTTCTTCCTGGATCCATGCTCAGTCCCCGGGGGGGAAGTCCTCCCCGTCAATGTTGGCAATCTCTTGTTCCTCAATTGCTATGCCAACAGTCATGCCCTTCATCGGCATGACTTCCTCCAAAAAGTTTATGAGTTTTCTCAGGCCCAATATGACCTCCCCTGTGTCCTTGTTGGAGACTTCAATGAAGAACCCTCCACCGATTTTGGGGCTGCTATGGAACTTTCGGGTTTTACCATTTCTTGGCCTCGTGATGGGTTGGGTAGCCGCTGGGACCAAAAACAACCCCGGATTATTGACTATGTCTTGGCCAGTCATCACCAGGTTTCTACGGTTTGGTCTCGGCCCGAGCGGTGGTCGGACCATCGCGCACTTGAATTTGTGTGTGATTTGCGGCCTGACTTCGACCCTCAAGTGACTAGGTTCGAACTTGTGCCTTGTAATGTTTACCTACCTACTGACCCGAGCTTTTCCTCAATGGAGCCGACTCCTGGAGAGTGCTTGGAACCAAAATAAGGACAATTGGCAAGCTGCGGAGACAAGAATGCGCCGAATTTTGGACGACAGTTCCCTCGACCCTCAGACCAAAGCTGATCTCATTTGGAAAGACTTCAATGTGTTTGTCGAAGCCTTTTTGTTGCAGACTGCTCGTCTCTCTCCCGTGCCGATGCGCGCCACGCGCCGCGCTAAGCGAGGCAAGGGCACTCCAGCGGTCTTTCGACAAATTAATCAAGCGGTTCGAAAGCCCTACGACAATGGTGCTCCCAATAGACTCCGAGTTTTGTACAGATTGCTAGGTAGAATGCAGGAACTTGCTTTCCGACGTATCCGGCAGCAGGCCATCCCGAGCGAACTCCGGCTCAAACTTCAGCGCTGTCCCTCGTGGACACCGCAGTTGACCATCGCTGAAGTGAAGCAGCAAATCTCCGACTTAGAAACGCATCAGCGGGAGTCTAGGATCCGCCACTGGGAAAACAGACTCCGTGGATCCCAAAAGGAAGTGTTTGCCTGGCTCAAAAGAGTGAAGTCCCCCCCTACTCATATGATTTTCAATGATGAAGGTGAGTTAGGGTTAGGGGAACCGGCCGCGGTCTCCACTCAAGACGCCCTCGAAAAAATCAAATCCTTTTGGTCCACTGTTTGGGACCGAGAACGCAGTCAAAATGAAATGCTACCTGAAGATTATTATTTTCAGCTTTGGGACATCCCGGCGAGAAACCCTGAATGCTGGGCACCGGTTGACATTGAAAGAATCATCAAGAGCGCCCGCCGCCAGAAGCATAAATCAGGCGGGACAGACGGGTGGACCGGAACTGAAGTTTCCCTTTTCCCTTCTTGCATGTGGCGCGATATTGCGGTCTTGTTCGGATGGTTTGAGGTCCTCGGTCATTTCCCCCAGATCTGGGGAGAGGTTCGTCAGGCCCATCTCATGAAATCTCACGCCCCCCGGTCTAGTGATGGGGCTGTGCCCGCTAGCAAAATGCGACCCATTGCTGTCATGTCGGTCTGGTATCGTATGTACACCGGGGCCCTTCTCCGAACTTCTCAAGCCCAGGACTGGATTAATTCCGTTTTGGATCCTGTCCAGCACGGATGCCGTCAGAAACATGACTGTCTCCAAGCTGTAGTTCCCCTCGCTTCGGCTCAAGCTCAGGGACATTTCATTTGGTCATTAGATCTCTCTCAAGCGTTTGACAGGTTGAGGCCTGAAGTGGCGCTGAGGAGTCTGACTCATTTCGGGTTCCCCCCTCTCCTTGCCAACGCCTTCCAAAAGATTTGGAGCTCTCAGCGCCGCGTGCTGCAATGGCAAGGCGAGAGTCTTCCGGTTCCCTGCCATGTGGCAAGTAGCGTTCCGCAGGGTGATCCGTTGAGCCCCTGGGCTATGAACGTGGTCTTACGAACACCGACAGCGGTCATTCGCCGTCTCCATCCTACTGGTGTACTTTCAGTCTTTATGGATGATCGAAGCTTTTCTGCTGCGTCCCTTGAGACTGGAAAGAGCATTTGGGAAGCTTGGAAGAACCATTCTGCATGCCTTGGCCTCAGAGAAAATTTGGCTAAAACACAAATCTTCTCACGCACACAAGACGGCCAGTTTCAGATCCGCAGTGACCCTGAGACGGCTCCGTGGGCGAAGGACGCCCTGGTGGCATTAGGTGTTTCTTTCACCCCTCTGGGGTGCAAACCCACTCAAAAAGACAGCGACCGGTTCTCCAACGCTTTGAAGACTGCCGCAAAACTCAAAGTTGCTCCTGTGTTGGCCAAAGAACGTCTCCTCCTTGCTGCATCCGCTGTGACCACAAAGGCTACGTACGGATGGGCACTGCGAGCTCCTCCCCTGCGCAGTTGCACACAACTTCACAGTCGACTTCGAGCTGCTGGTTTCGGTCATAGGTCCGCGTCGGTGCCTCTGACCCACTTGCTCTTGGGTCACACGACCAGTTCAATGTTCATGGCTGGCTATTTGGCGAGTCTCGCCCTATACCGCAGTCACCGTCTTGAAATGAAGGTCGCCACAGACTGGGGCCTTGCGGGTGGTTTCGTCCAACGAGTACGAAAATTTCTGGCCTCCTTAGGCTGGTCGAGCCCCAGGCCATGGCTGTGGAAGCACATCCCACTCAACCTACGTTTTTCTCTTGCACCACGACACTCAGAATTTCCAGACAGCAAAGACCACTTCGGACATCTCCTCCGGGAGAGCTGGAGATATTCTATGTGGAACTGTTTCTTACAACAGGATCGAAAGGACTCTGCGGCGTTGCGGAATGTTCCTTATGACTCTGGTCGTATCAAAGCTGCGGCTGCTGCGGCGCACCGAGGCAATGCTCACGAAGTGAACATTTTGTGTGGTGGCTTCATTAGCCCTATGCGGTTTCACCAAACTGCTCGGTCAGAAACCAAACCGAGTGGTTGCTGCCCATTTTGTAATTTCTTTCCAGGGGATCGGAAACGTCTCTTTTGGGATTGTCCTGTGAGGAACCCCAACCGAACGGAACCTTCGGATCTTACTGAAGCCGTGTTGGGCTGGCCGCCTGTTGGCGGCCATTCTGACACTTTGTCCCGCCTGGGGCGGGTACGCAAGGAGATGCTCGATCACCGTTATGGTGGTGCCACCCCGGGGGGGTGGGGGCGGCGGGTATCTAAGGATTTGTGCTGCTGTGCGTGGCGGTGTACCCGCGCTGACTGCTGCCTTGCGTTAGCGCTGTGGTCGTCCGTCATCGTCTACTTTCATCGTCATGGCAAAACAGCTGACCAAAGATGAATCGATTGATGGTTTGTTGCATGACAAAACAACTCAATGACCAAACACTTTCATGACAAACACGGTTTCAACTCTCAGCTGGTCATGTTTCAGGCCGTCGGCGGCAACGACCCACGGCTTTTGGAGAGGCTCCGTGGACACCAAGGGATACGTCATGCCGCCCCCTCTGTTCTACATGACATTCGCTTGCTTAATCAGACCATGAGGCTACATAAAAGACCCTAATGATATGGAGCTGAACAAAACTACAGTTACCCAATGATCTGTTTTTTTTTCCGGGAAGACTTTTGCATCAGATCGGCCGGTAGGAATAGGAGAACCACAACCAACCACAACAACAACAACCACAACAACACCACAACAGCCACAACCACAACAACGCCACAACAACCACAGCTGTAGCCGTGACCGCAAGCAGCGGCAGCAACAGCGCCAACAACGACAAGAACACGAACAAAAACCACACCAACCCAACAAACAATCAAGCAAACAACCAAACAACCAAGCGCTCAGAGCCAGTTGCGCAAATCGTGTTGAGTCGATTTTATGGATTCTGTTGCGTTTTGCAAAAGAACCACACTCTCCCCTTGTCGCTGTCGAACATTCGCAGTTTTACCATTGGACGCTCCGGTCGGAAACCACGCTGGATGATGCACTCATCTTGAACTCATTGGTTTAATCTTGGGTGGGCTTCTTGCTTCTTGTGACTCATATAGTGCAGTGGAACTTCGACTGAACCCAGTTCTTCAGAAAGAGTAAAGACCTACTACAGGGTGAAAAATGAGGACAACCTGATACACGGAGAAGGGACACCAGTGAGCCAACCATCAGGGTGATGGGTTTCCCCCCCACACACACACACGCACCAATCTCAATCTTGTCAAGCGCGGCATATGGTTAAAGCATGCGCAACGATTCTCCACCACTCCAGTTGGTCTCTTATCCAACTTCGACCCACAACAGGGCAATTGTTTTCCAGGCAACTACCCTGGCGGTGGAGCCCAAAGAGATCTCCTTCAAGGACAGCGAGGGCTGTGTCAAAGAGGGTGATGGATGTGTCGGGTTGCTGTTGTTTTTGTTCCTTGGTGAACAGTTCTTTTGGTGGTTCTCAAGACGACTCTATTTGTTCATGCATTTTTTTGGCTGGTCATGACCGAGATGTGACTCCGCAGCCGGGCCCTATCTAACATATGGTTTTGGCTTGAAAAACCATGGAAAAACAGAGCATGCTACTGTCTATGACTGTAAATATGTAATTCATATAATAAGACAACTTAATTCAAATGAACTTCATAGTCAGAGTCAACTCCCTTACGGAATCTTTCAGATGTCGAATCATTCAATTCCGCACCTCTTCCAACGGACTCAGAGAAACATCCGGTGAGTTTTGTTGCAACAAGGGCATCTCTATTAGTAACAATTGCATCGCTACGAAGGTCGCAATTCTTGCTACGCAGCCAACGAGCATTTTAAAGCATTCGAAGAGAGTTTTCCCGTTTTCCGATCTCTTCAACGTCCGACGTCGAGACCGTCTCAGGGTGCCAAGCCGGACGTGGCCATGCAGCATACCGTGCAGCTCTCGATGGCTTGTGGGGCCGCTGAGTGGCCAAAGCGGTGGAGTGAATGTTAAGGCCTCATAAGGTCTGACAGGCCTCTGGAGTTGGTGGAAGTGAATGTAAGACCTTATGTAAATTAGTAATCCAATGCAGCAAGATATTCAGCAAGATTGGATAGTTGGAGAGTTACGGAGAGTTGAACGGTTGAACCAGATTGATCTTGAAGAGTTGCATTCCACGCATCATTCCTTGGAGAGGGTGGATCATTGGATCGGCGTTTTGGATGAGAATGCCATGTGCTCGGCCAATGGCTAAATGGCCAAGGCTTACCCTTTATTAGGCCTCTTAACCTGTTGAGGTCCCGGATCTTCTCGGATTATTTACGCCTCAGAACAGGCCAAGTGTCCAAACGCTCCGTGAAAACAGCTCGACCGGTCCCTCAAAGCATCAAAACATATCAAAACATCGTGAGAAACCCCAGACTCCTCCAGAGGATTCAGGTCCGATCCCTGCATTTTTTGTCAGGCTTCAGGAGTGTTTGGATGGCTTTTATGTTTTGGCTGATCAGGTGATATGGTGATTTTCCCGGTCAGCCCCCAGTTTCCTGGTGATGTTCTTCCCAGCTTCGACAGCGAATCAAAGTGACCAAGCGAAGCAGACGATCCGAGCGGTTCTTTTCACCGATCGGAGCGGTTGGACACGACGGCCACGAGCGTCCCCGAGGCGCGAGCGGCTTGCTGCGGCAGCGCTACGAGGCGGGCGGCAGCGCTACGGGTGGGGCAGGAAGGAATGCGGCGCCTGGAGCACAAGCAGCATGTGAGCAGGATGAGCGGGAGACAAGCAGTTGTCGGTTTAGACAAGGATGGAATAATGATTGGAATGACTCGGTCAAGAAATGTGGAACAGATACAAACAGTAAAAAAAAGTGTTTTCCAAACAAGCCGAGTCGCCTCCCTGTGGCACCACAAAAACCATCGAAATGGAGATGTTCCCAGCGTCTCTCGCTGGCAGTGCGTAACGCGCTCTGCGCAGAGCCGAGCGCTTGCGCCTGGTAGTTCGAGCTGAGGTCTTCTTTGAAACACCCGGTGGCTTTGCCTGGCCACTAGCAGGCGCGGCCATGGGAAACGCATGGGCCATGTTTGTTTGTTTGTTTGTGTGTGTGTGTCCACCCCTGGACAAAGGGTTTCCTTCGACCACTCCAAT